ACGGGACCGCAGGGCAGGGAAGGACAGTGGAAGAGGTCGCAATGACTGGACCCCCAGAGGGGTCAGCAAGGGAGACAGCAACTGGCCGAGCAAGCGGCTCAAGGGCAGTGCGGTCACGAAAGAAGCAGCGAGAAGCACCTGAGTCCAGTGTGAAGGTGTGCAGTGCGGCAGTCGACGCAGTACCAAGGGGGGGAGACACACGAGCACCTAGAGCAGCAGCCTCACCAGCACCAGGGGTAGCCGACACGTGAGTACCTGGAGCGGCAGACGCACTGGCCCTAATGCCCGGGTCGGGCGGCACACACAAGTACTCAGCACCCTCTCCACTAGTAGACATCACATACATGGCAGATAGAATAGCATCAAAGTCTAGAGCATAGATATCAATCCCCTTCTTCAGGAGATCAAGCCAGCGGGGCAGCTCAGTGGCCTGAGGGAACTGAACACGCCAAGCGTCGTCGAGACGAGAGAAGCAGCGCTGTGTGGCGTGCGGTCGTCCACACTGCTGACCAGTGCGGTCACCAGTGCGAATGACGTACGTGCAGCTAAGACCACCCCCACCCCCGTGCTGAGAGTACCACTCACGGACCTCCTGGGGCGAGAGAGTGTGCTGCTGGCCCTGGCCACCGCCAGCGCCTCCACGGCCACCACCACCGCTGCCACCTCCTCGACCACCCCAACCCCTGCCGCCGCCTCGTCCACCGCCACCCCAACCGCCGCCTCCACTCCTGCCACCTCCCCCGCCGCTGCCGCCACCACCCCCACCGCTACCACTCGCCCCTCCAGCCGAGCCACCACCCCCACTGCCTCCACCGCCCCCACCGCCGCCTCCCCCGCCGTCACCGCCACTACCCTTGCCCCCTTTGCCCTTGCCGCTGCGGCGTCCGCTCGAGGCAGACGCAGCGCCGACCTTCTCAGTACCAAGAAGGTCGACAGCAGCAGCAGAGGCGACAGAGGGAAGAAGGGGGGAAGGAGAACACCCCTCAAAGAACGGGGTACGGGGGTCGCCACGAGAGGCACCTACAGCGACTATGCTAGCCTCAGCTGCAAGTAGCTCCTTCTCGAGGAGGGCAATGGTGAGCTCAGTGGGGCAACGAGCTAGGAAGTGGTCCCTGACAGCACGCAGTGTGTCAGGGAGGCGGGTGACTAGGTGATAGAGAGTGAGCCAGAGTGGAGGGGGGTGCGTGGCAAGGAACTCAGCAGGCATGGCGGCACGGAAGCGGGCCTCACTAGTACGGAGGTGCGTGATGAGGTCAGCGACTGTGTGAAAGGAGGCCAGGTCGGGAAACAGGTAGGGGAGGGAGAGACGGCCTAGTGCGGCAGAGGCAGGTGAGGAGTAGCGAGCAACTACAGCTGTGTACAGTGCCGGTGCAGTCTTGTGGTGACCAAAGTGCTCGCGTTCGTCTATCGGCAGGGAGTTGCGAATGGCGAAGCGAGCGTGGGCATCACGAGTCTGCCACTGTGAGCGAGCAGTGCTGTCAGCAGTAGCAGCAGGGGCAGTGACAAGGCCTAGGGCGTGATCGTACAGTGAGATGTCATCCTTGGCTGTGAGCTGTAGGTAGAGGTGCAGGTCATCGAGCCAGGTGTCAAACTTCACAGGGCGGCCCTCAGCATCGAACACGAGAACCTGTGGGCTAGCCATAGGAACAGTAGAAATAGCAGCAGTAGCGGTAGGAGAAGCAGGTAGGACGAACCAGGTAGGGCAGGGCGGCGCGGCTCGGTTCAGGTCGGGTCGCGGCTCGGCTGGGTGGCGCGGCTCGGCTCGGGGCGCGCGGCTCGGCTCAGGTCACGGCGGGGACGGGCCGCCCGCTCTCCCTCTTGTGCTGCGGCGGGAACGGGCCGCCCGGGGCCTCTGGGTGGTGGGCACGGGTCGGCGAGGTAGGCACGGGGCCGGTTGGGGCCCTAGAGGGGCGAGCGCGGGGCCGATCGGGGCCTGAGCGGGGCTAGTGCGGGGCCAAACGGGGCCTTGACGGGGCTAGCAAGGGGCCGACGGGGCCTGAACGGGGCTAGCGCGGGGCCGACGGGGCCTGAAACGGGGCCGAAGGGGCCTGAAACGGGGCTAGCGCGGGCCCGATCGGGGCCTGAATGGGGCTAGCGCGGGGCCGACGGGGCCTGAAACGGGGCTAGCGCGGGCCGACGGGGCCTGAGAGGGGCTAGCGCGGGGCCGACGGGGCCTGAAACGGGGCCGACGGGGCCTGAAACGGGGCTAGCGCGGGCCGACGGGGCCTGAGAGGGGCTAGCGCGGGGCCGACGGGGCCTGAAAAGGGGCCGACGGGGCCTGAAACGGGGCTAGCGCGGGTCGACGGGGCCTGAGAGGGGCTAGCGTGGGGCCGACGGGGCCTGAAACGGGGCCGACGGGGCCTAAACGGGGCTAGCGCGGGGCCTGAACGGGGCCTTAAAGGGGCCGACGGGGCCTGAACGGGGCTAGCGCGGGGCCGTCAAGAGGGGCCTCTAGGGGCGTGACACGCCGAGGCGCCCTAGGGCACGGGTAGGTAGGTAGGTAGGTAGTTACGTAGTGGTGGGCCCTTAGAAAATTTCGGTCCTAGGAAGGACCTGCTCTATACCATGTTGGAATCACTGAACAGGAATGAATGAACTAGCAATGAAAAGAGTACAAGTACCTAACCCTAGAATTGTGTACCCCCTATAGACTAACCCACTGTAGCCTAAACTAACACAACATATATAATGTTTGACAGGTTCTTGTTGATACTAGAAACTAGCAGGTGGAAAGAAACTTTATCTGCCCTTCTCCCCATCCTTTGCGACCTCCCTATGCAGAGCCACCAACGGCACGAGTCTCACATGCCCTGACAGCTACACCAGCTGCGGTGTGCCTCAGAATTCATCCTCTGCCTTCTGCAGCGCCTGCCCCAACTTCTGCACCACATGTTAGTTCCGTTCTAAAGAGAAAGGGAGGGCGGGGAAGGAGCAGAGGTGTTTCCATCCAAGCACGTACCACGAGCCTCTGAGCTTCTAGTCTGTGCCTTCTTGGATTCATTAGCCTCTACAGGGATCTGCTGTGCATTAAGCTGCTCCGCTGTGCATCAAGCTGCTCCGCTGTGCATCAAGCTGCTCCGCTGTGCATCAAGCTGCTCCGCTGTGCATCAAGCTGCTCCGCTGTGCATCAAGCTGCTCCGCTGTGCATCAAGCTGCTCCGCTGTGCATCAAGCTGCTCCGCTGTGCATCAAGCTGCTCCGCTGTGCATCAAGCTGCTCCGCTGTGCATCATTCATCACCAACGACTTTGACACCGAGGTGCGTGCGTGGTGTGGTGTGATGTGGTGTGGTGGGGTGTGGTGTGGTGTGGTGTGGTTTGGTGTGGTGAGGTGTGGTGTGGTGTGGTGTGGTGTGGTGTGGTGTGGTGGGGTGTGATCCGTTTTGAAGCGAACTCTTCTCAGGAAAAAAGAATAGTTTCTATCTAGCACATGCACGTTTCTGGCCCTGGGTATATATATTGCATGTTCCGGCATCACCATGGTGCAGTGCATCAGAGTGTTGAATTCACTTTTGCGAACTCTCAAAACTGGTTTCAAAATACCTGGGTAGGAATATTGCATGTTCCGGCATCACTATGGTGCATCACTATGGTGCATCACTATGGTGCATCACTATGGTGCATCAGAGTGTGTTACATTCGCTCACGAGTGTGCCAGACGGTACTTCTTGCTGACCCTTTTATATTGCCAGATGGTCCCTCTCTTACATCGTTGTAGCCAGGTGAGTCAGGTACATTTATAAATGGTGTTTGTTTGTTACGGGGTCAACCATTGTCCCTGCCTGGCACGTGTGTGAGATGGCAACGAAGCAGTGTCTTACATTGTGTTGTGCTGCACCCACCGTTTGGCCTGGCAGGTGTGTGAGCTGGCAACGAAGCACCACCCCAACCTCGTGCGACTGCTGGGCTTCGCCATCGGGATTACCGACAAGACAAGGGTCGAGCAAATCCTCATCTACGAGCTCATGCCCAATGGAGACCTCTCGCACTGGATCGGGAAAGGTGTATGGTTCCACAATGGATCAACTATTGTGCGCATCATTGCACGTTTGAGTGTAGTTTCTAGCACTGTACCACCCCTTATCACATTCTTTGCGACCTCTCAGGTTGGTCTGTTCTCCTTGAAGGTCTCTCCCCTCCAGCTCGCCTCTGCCCTCCATTCAACTGCCTCTTCTCTCCCCATTTATCCCTTCATTCCCATCCGCTCTCCCCACCATCCGAATCCCCACTGCTCGCCGCCGTGCGTATGCGCTGGCCCCTGCAGAGGCAATCTCCCCGCTGAGCTTTGAGCAGCGAGTGCGCGTGCTGGTGGGGGCGGCACGCCGATTTGAGTACCTTCACAGTTTCCCCATCATTCACCGCGATATCAAGCCCGCCAACATCCTCCTCGACCAAAACATGCAGGCAAGCAGAGCTTTGTCACTCACATGCAGGCAAGCAGGGCTTTGTCACTCACATGCAGGCAAGCAGAGCTTTGTCCCTCACATTTTTCACAGCTTCGTTGGAGCCACTTCTGAAAATGATCAAAGGCGACTCTAAAACAGCTGATTTCAAAGTCCCACAGGCTTTGCTGCCAAGATTCATGCACTTAAGCACACACATACGTACGCATTCACGATGCAAGAAATGGTAAAGCAAAAATTACTACCGGCTTTTAACCACATTTGCAACCTAGTACTTCCCCTGCCTACTCGTTGTCATCACCATGTGTGAGTGCATGCGAAGATCTCGGATTTCGGGCTTGTAAGGAAGGGAGTTGGCAACTCAGCGCAGAGTACTCGAGTCGTGGGGACACCATGCTATGTAGTCCCCTCCTATTACGAATCCAATAGGGCCACCACTGCCAGTGATGTATACAGGTGAGCAAGGGCCTTCATAATATGTTCAAGCTTTATCTGCCTGTAATTGCATCGATTTACTTTCAACCTGAAGCTCTTAATATGCATACCTGACTTGGCACTTTCACTGTGACGTGCAGCTTTGGCATTGTTATTCTTGAGGTGATGACGGGCCGACAGGCCATTGAGGAGTCTCTGGCCATTGTCTCGGATGACGAAGCGACCCAATCGAAGAACATTCTGCCATCGGTGAGCTGTCAAACTAGCAATTTAGCCATGGTTCATGAACATTTCGCTTCCTTTCGTTGTGCAGCCTGTCTCATTATATTGCATATTGTTCTTTTCCACACTTCCACAACTGCACCTCCTTGCAAAACCATTGAAAACCCCTTCTTGCCAGGTAACGCAGCAGCTCACTCAGTCTGGCAATGTGCTGGGGCCATGCCTCAAGGACCCGCGCATGGAGGCACAGGATGATCTCGTTCTCAAGGTGCTGCAGCTGGCGCTGCGATGCACTGCCAAGCGCTCTGCCACTCGGCCCAGCATGGGGGCGATAGCAGCAGAGCTGGAGGGGGTTTTGGCGGAACTGATTGGGTCAAAGAGGAATGCAGCGGTCGAGGAGGTGGACAAGCAGATTCTGGACTTGACACCTTCCTCAGATATCGAGAAGCAGCTAGCTCGCCTGGACGCTGAATTTGAAAAACGATAACGTGTCGTGTGAGCCTAGCTGAAGGCCCTGGTGAAGCTTGTCGCGTTGCCTGCAATACATGTGGTGGGGTGAGGGATGAATTTAGTGCAGCTATATTAGCAGCAAGTTTGTGGCTATGCTGGGCAATCCAAGAGGTTATGAATCAAGATTTTGTTTTTTTTTTCCTCCTCCCTAAGTTGGACCCAAGAGGGAAGGCTTGTTGTAGCCCCCTCAGCCAATCATACGGTAGTTGAATGCCCAGAACCACGGCGACAAATACGACTTCCCTGGGCAACAACTCTGTCAAGAGTATGCTCGTTTGTTCGCTTGAAAACCTTGTACCGTATGTTGTCCATAATTGGTCACTTCGAAATAAAAGTTGATTCTAAGTCGGTTATGTCAACGTACACAATAATACCGTATTTGTATATGTACTTTGTTGGCTAGGTTGGGTTGCTCTATAGAGGGTATTGGATTTTACTCAAAGCCCTCTTGTCTGCCCTCATGGGTCATTCATTCTGTTCTTGGCATGGTATCAGATTATGTTAGGTTTCTAGCCGCCGCCCCACCTACCTCCCTACCTGCCCTCGCGCCCCCACGACCCCCTCTAACAACCCCTTCTAGCGCCCCCCTCTAGCCCCCCCCCCTCTTCCCCCCCCCCTTCCTCTAACGCCCCGTCGCGGCCCCCTCTAGCGGCCCCGTCGCGCCCCGCCGCGCCCTACCGGTTCCCCCGCGCCTGGTGGGCCCGCGTTGCTGCTGCCCGCGCCTGCCGCGCCCGCGCTCGGCGCGCCTGCCGCCGTTGCGCCTGCCGCGCCCGCATCGCCGCCGTCCGCACCTGCCACCTCCGCGCCCCGCGCCTGCCACGGCCGCGCCGCGCCTGCCGCGCGCCAGCTTCGCGCCTATCCCGCGCCGCCGCCGCGCCTGCTTCCGTGCCTTTTGTCGCGCCTGCCGCCGCTCTCTCGACGCCGCCGCGGCCGCCCTTCTGCGGCCGTGTCCCTACGCCACGTGCTGTACCGCCCAATGTATCCTCCTCCACCTGTGGCTGTCCCCTCCTATCCGCTGCAGTGCCCCTACTCACTCCTGTCATGGCGTCTGAGTTTGTGCTGCGGCTCGATGTGAAGGGGCGGGCGATTGACTTTGACGCGAGGCTGCTCGACGTCAAGCTCCACATGCGGAACCAGTGCCAGGACGACGTCTCCCTGTACGCCCACGTGTCAGGTGAGGTGCATGCCCCCCAGGGTCCTACTACTCTTGTTGCTGAGCCCACGCCGAAGGAGCGGGAGGCTCACCACGTGGCCCAGCTTGCGTACTCGGTTTGGGAGTCGGGTGACGCTGCTGCGCGCCTTGTTCTTAGCCGCTTCCTGCCGCCGGCCGAGCGAGTGCACTTTTGCCAGGCCGAGACAGTGAAGGAATATCTGGATGTTGTTGTTGCTTGCTACTCCACCCCCTCCTCTAGTACTATAGGGCGCCCCCCCATGCCTTTCCTCTTCCCTGCTCTCCTTGCTTTCCCCGCTGTCGTTGACCTCACTACTCGCCTGCGTTCGCTTAACGCTCTGCGTTCGCTTAACCCTCTGTTGTTGTTGTTGGAGGCAGACACGCCTTACTTGGTGGACATGCGGGTTCAGATTCTGGGTCGGTGTTCGGTGAATTTTAGAGGGTTTGTCGTGGTGTGTTCACTACGAGTTGTGTTCTCGTAGTTTCTGGTGCCATCTTGCTGTCGTACTCACATTATCTTCCTTTATCGCCCTGCACCCTTTTGATCTCTATCCCTTTCTTGTCTATCCCTTTCTTGCCATCCCTTTCTGTACACCCATTATGTATACAGGTATATTATATATGACGCAGAGCTTGCTTTGAACGAACGAAAAATTTCGGTGATCAGGTGTACTACTATGGAACAAGCTCTCGGGTGTGTGCAGGATGCGTGGCAGTCTCCAGTGCTCAAGTTGTTTCTTTTGTCAATGTTGTACACTCCTATCGAAGGTTGTCGCAGTTTCTGTCCTGTGTCCTACACTCGGGAGCGATCAGGTTCGAAGAGGCTGGAGTAGAGAACTCGGACTTGATCAAACAAAACTCGCAAAGTTTTCCTAGATTTACCAGGGTACAGTACTCACCGTCGTCCTACATTTGGGCGAGGCCTCTCACGGCAAAACATCCACCCGCAAATGGTTTCGAGCCTGACCCAGTCACATTGTGCTCCCCAAAGCCAGGGTCCAGACGGGCCGCAGTAGGAAAAACTTATCGGAGCTCATGATGGACACCGGCCTGCTGCTTGTTTTCGAATTTATGATAACATATGAGGGATACCTCCCGATAATATAGGAGTATGTTTGTTCTTACCCTTGGGCATTTGATTGTAGATGCAACAATGGTGACCTGCGCTTGGTGGAGGGCTAATTCCTAGGGTGCCTCGAGGATGCTGAGAAACTCCAGAAGCTGCCGCACTACAGAACAGTAATCCAGACCTTTCGAGTGCCCGTGCCCAGCTTATGCCCAGGGGGAAATGGTGCGTGATTGCTTGCTTGTTTTGTCCTTGTACACGTAGACACCCTTCCCTCACTTCGCTGGACATTCACTCTGCTCCGCTGGATCTATCAACATCAACTGTACGGTAGAGGATGCGGTGGCCCACAGCATAGTATTGCCTGCCATCCCGCCGTAATCATTCAACAAGGTGCTGCGTCACTGCGTGTGTCTGATCTTATCAAACAACAACACAGACTTGGCCTCGCCTGAGGCTGGCATGAGGAAGACTCATGGTGGTGGTCCACTATGAATCAGGTCAGGTCAGGATTCAGAAACTCTCACTTCTCCATTTCCTTCTTACTGTACATCCTGACCGCACATTACAGTACAGAATCGCAATTGTCAGCCTTCACACAGTTGAGCGGAAAGTCTGCACATGGTCATGGATGCTCCGCTTCGAGCTTCTCAAGAGCTCGCTCCAGAGCTGTCGTTTTCTCTGGTCTGTACATTTAGCCTCGGCCCATGCTCTCCGTAAGCAACCCACCAGACCTATCTGAGACAATCTGGCTTGTCGAAGTTTTGCATTTTGCCCGTTTGCGTTTCATACCGTGCCTCTAAGGTGTAACGCGGGCGTCGATCATAATCGTCATCATCCGCATCATCATCATCGTCATACTATCTCAAACGCCATTGCTCCGCTCGCCGTCGTGCCGCCACCACACGTCTAAGCGTCCGAGTTCTAAATCTCCTCTACGTAGGATTTATGCTGCTGACGTTTCCCTAGTTTCAACCGACATGAGCCTACCGGAGAAGCGCGTGCGCTGCGCGCAGCCTGATTCGGGGTTGCCGCCATCGCAGCTGCTCCTCCTCCCCACGTCCGTGCAGTGGCGAATATTGGACCTCCTAGATGCGCGCTCGCTCGTTTGCCTGTCGGGCTCGTGCCGCGAGTTACGTACCGCCGTCTCCGCGTCCGCTGATCCGCAGGCTGCGCTTCGATGGCGCCGGTAATACGTTATCCAGTAAACCTAATCCTATCCGTGATGTTGAAAGCTCAATCGTGATTCTAACCCCATAAAGCATCATGTCCGTTCGTATGGAGGCCTTTCAGAGCGCACAGTGCTATTTTCAATCGTGAAGCTTGACCTAATCTGGTTAGCACCCTCCGTTACGCTTACCAAGAGGCAACCTTTTCCCATCGTGTCTCTCTTCCCCTCACTCCCCGCCTTTCCCGAACGCAGCCTGTGTCAGGCAAAGCTTGGTCCGTGCCTGGGCGCGCTGCACGAGGCGTTCGCGCGCCACCAAATGCGCCAGCGCCTGAAGTCCACGCCGATCTCTCCGCTTCCCCCGGTCGACCATCCGCGCCTGAAGCCCCAGCAACCCCAGTCGGCGCTCCAACACGGCGAGAATCCGCATTTTCAGGGGGGGAATCAGAGTCAGTTCGAGCACGCGCCGGGACCGCCAGCGCAGCAGGGTCAGGAGCAGCCGCAGTCACAGCAGCAGCAAGAGCAGCAGCAGGAGGACGAGCGGGTGAGCAGCAGCGACAGCGGTTGGCAAATGGCATGGCATTGGAGTTGGGAACCACCCCCGCAACTTCCTGACTTCGCCTCTCTCCCTACTCGTGACCCCGCCCGCACCAGAAGATCCCCGCGCGGGTCGGTGGGGAAGCGACCGTTCCGGCGATCGGCGGGGCTGCGGTCGCGGTCGGGGGAGCTGTCGCTTGCGCCGTTGGCGGCGGCAGCGGTGGCGGAGGGGTACGGCGAGACGTGGTTCTGGCAGCGGCTGTTCGGCGCTGCCGTGCGCCCGCGCGACGTGCAGTGGTGGCCGGAAGGGGGGAACGCATTGCGCCAGAGGTAGGTTTGGCGCGGTGGGTGAGAGAGAGGTGGTTCATTTGAAGTGCGGTTGGTTGCAGCAAGGGGAGGATGTTGGGAAAGCACGGACGGAGGACTGCGGAAGGGGGAACGCGGAAAAGGGGGGGCGCGGATGGAATGTTAGCGAGCAGTGAGCCGCACAGCCTGGCCTTTGCTACCCGCGGAAGTATTCTTAGCACATCTCCATTCACTCGCCAAATTCACTTCCCCATTCCGCTTCATTTTCCGCCTCCCCTCTCGTCCCCTTCCCCCTTCGGTTTCTCTTCCCGCCGCCTCCCTATTCCCTCTCCGCTCCCCTCCGTTCCCAGCCTCATATCGTCGTGTCGCGCGGAGCGCGCTACATCGGGAGGCGCAGTCCCTTCCGCGGGGCTACAGACGGCGCAGCTGCTACCGCTGTGTCGGCAAGCGGACATTGGCATGCGCGCGAACGCAGGCGGGGGCGCGGGCGCGGGGAACGGGGAGGGGGAGAGGGGGGACGCGGAATGGCCAGCGTATGACGAGTCAGCGGCGGCTGCGCTGGAGATGCTCGAGCGCACAGGGCACTCCGCCACTCAGGTAAGACAGGCGGGGAGGGGTGGCTGGGGATGAAAGGGGAGGGGAGGGTTTCGTCGGAGGCTTTGTCTCGGACTATGTTGGGGCATGGGGGGGATGCAACGGAAGGGCGAAGCGGATGGCAGCAGGATGTGTGCGCATCCGTCATGTGGTTGTCTTTTCTGTGTCGTGTGTGCGTGCGCGTACACCTCCATTGCTTGGATCTTCCCGCCCGCCGTAACGGTGCAAGCTCTCTCTCTCCACAACCTTTCTATGCCTCACCCCGTGCCTTGCCTTTCCAGGCTCACTAGCACTAGCACGTTCCACACACATTCCATTTTTGTTTATGTGATGTTTATGGAAATGGAATGTGGCAGGTGGGCGAGCTGCTGGTGGTGATCGGGGGTTTGAGTCGGCAGGGCCAGGCAACAATAGACGTGCTGGTCTTCCACCTCGCCTCGCTCGCTGCGTGGCGCCCTGCCGTGCACACGTGGGCGGGGGACGCGCTGCCCCGCCGCCGCTTCCGCCACACCGCTGCGCTCATTCTCCCGCCTGCTGCGCTCAGAGCGGGGGGGTTTGCGGGCGAGGACGACCCGATTCTGTTCATGTTCGGCGGATATGATTTGGAGGTGCGTGCGTGCGGGAGGGTGGGTGGGTGGGTGGGTGGTGGTTTATAGGTGTGTGGGTGTGTGAGCGTTTGGGTGGGTTGATGGGTGGATGGTGGATATGTAGGAGGGAGGATGGATGGATGGAGCTCTCGTCCCTCCTTGTCCTGCCATCAGCTGCTCGTCTCTACCTTGGTCCCTCGTTCTCCGATAGTGTCTGCGAGCATTGCTCTCGCCCTCTCACTGCTTGCGTTTCATGCCCGCCCCTTGAAGCCGTTCCTCGGTCCCTGATGTGCTGCATCTGCATGCATGCATGCATGCATGTGTGTGTGTGCGTGCAGGGCAACGTGCATGGCGTGGAAGAGTCCTTCTTCTTCCTCTGCCTCTCCACCGCAGGCTAAATCCGAGTCACTCTCACGCCCAATCCTCAAAGCCCTTCCTCATGTGCTGCGTGCTGTCGCTGCGTGCAGGGCAACGTGCATGGCATGGAGGAGGCCTTCTTCCTCTGCCTCTCTGATGCAGGAGCCACTGCCACGTGGCGACGTGCGCACACCAGAGGCACCGTGCCCTCTGCGCGCTTCCACCATGCCATGGCTGCCTATGCAAACGGATCCAAAGTTCTCGTCTATGGGTGCGTTGCTGTGACCTGTCCCGTCCCGTCCCGTCCCGTCCCGTCCCGTCCCGTCCCGTCCCGTCCCGTCCCGTCCCGTCCCGTCCCGTCCCGTCCCGTCCCGTCCCGTCCCGTCCCGTCCCGTCCCGTCCCGTCCCATTCCATCCCATCCATCCCACCCGCACTGAGATGGCTTTTGTTTCGTTGACCCGAAATTTCTCCTCCCGCAGACTTGCACTCCTTTTCTCTCTCGCCCTCTGCAGTGGTGTCCCTCTCCTCCTTGCGTCTCCCCTCCTCTCGCCCTCTCTGAGAACTCTTCTGACCCCCGCTTCTGTTTCGTTCCCAGAGCACCCGTCCGTCCTCCTTCCTTCCTCTCTCCTCCCTCCCCCGCCCTCCTGCTCTCCCACCGTCCTCTCTCCTCCCTCCTCCCTCCTACCCGTTCTCCTATCCCCCCTGCATGTCATGCTTTCGTTTCCCTGAAAAATGCGCTCACACCTGTGCATACGCGTGCGTGCAGAGGCGAAGGACTGGCGGTTAATGACTGGGACGTGGTGGAAGGAGCGCGGCAGGAGGGCACGCTGGCACAAGGGGAAGGTGGGAGAGAACAGCCAGAGCAGGATGAGCGGAGGGCAGAGGACGAGAGGGGAAGCAGGGCGAGACGAGGCAGGCAGATGGTAGAAGGAGAAGGGGAAGGAGAAGGGGAAGGTGATGGGGAAGGGGAGGCAGAGGGAGGAGAAGGAGACGGGCATGGAGAACGACGGCAACGACTGCGGCTGCAGCCACAGCAGGTGCAGCAAGTCGAACAGCAGCAACAGCAACTTCAGCAACAGCAGCTGCAGCTGCAGCAGCAGCAGCAAGAAAGGCAATCTGAAGCGTGGCAGCAACACGAGCAGCAGCAGCAGCAGCAGCTCCAACTAGACGAGCAAAATCACAGTGGCAGGGGTGCGGGCGAGAGGCGGCAGGCAGGGGGGCAAGAGAAAGGGCTGCATTGTGTTGCGCAGCAGTGCACGTTGGATGAGAGACGGCGAGACCAAGCCTGTGCGAGGGGCCAGGGCAGATCTGACGATGCTAACGAGAGCAGAGAGGGGATGAATAAGCGGAGGAGTGAGGGGGAGGGCGAGGGGATGAGTGGGTGGGGGAGTGAGAGTGGGTGTGGGAGCGAGTGTGAGTGTGAGGGAACGAGGTGTGGTGGTGCTGTGACGTGCTCTGATACACCCAGCAACAGCAGTAGCAGCGGCGGCAGCTGCAACAGCAGCAACAGCAGCAGAAGTGACTGTGGAGAGAGTAGTGGTCGCTGCAACAATGGTGCCTCGAGTGTGGCTGGTGCAGACAAGGGTGGGGCTGCGTCAAGTGGTGGCAGTGGCAGTGGCAGTGGCATTGGCATTGGCAGTGGCAGTGCTGGTGCTGCAGCAGAGGCAGATGGGAGCCACGGAACTTTTCCATCCTCTGCTGAGCGCCAGTCCACGGCCGTTGCACACACCAACTCGCCTTGTTCTGATGGCCCACGCAGTGGCAGTGGCAGGGGCAGTGGGAGGGAAAGCGGGTGTGGGTGTGGTTGTTGCGAGCAGTCACCGGTGGCATGGGAGAGAGTGTGGAACAGCGCGGGCGGTGAGCAGGGCAATGGGAGGGCAAGGAGGCCAGGCGGCGAGGAGGGGCGCGGGGAAGGTGGGCGTGGGGAAGGTGGACCTGGGGAAGGCGAGCTCGGGGAAGGCGGGCGTGCGCTGGTGGTGTATGTGTTGGACGTGGGCAGCATGACATGGTCGCGCGTGCCCACGCATGGGGTGTGCCCTGGCGTGCGCATACTGCACTTCGCCACCACCTACACGTGAGTCAAGTCGCTCTGTGCTGCTCATCACTCTCTCCATGCAACACTCGGTATGGCACTCCGCTGCAGCACGCTGAAGCATCCTGCAGCAGCGCACTGCAGGGCGCCAGCTTCCGCTGCAACCCAGTATGATGCACAAGTTCCACTTCCCCTTTCCCCACATCTCGCCCTTGGCCTAGACTCACTCCGTCCACTCCACCAGACTCACTTCTCCTCCCTGCATTCTCTGCTTGTGTGCAGCTGCGGTGCCTCTGGCAGGGAGCACATGGTCATCTTTGGCGGGTACAGGGATGACAGCACCAACCTCGAGACCATGCAGGTGCTGCCTGCCTGCCTGCCTTCCTGCCTGCCCCCCCTGCACTACACTCGCACCCCGCCCCTCTTCTCTCTCCCCCTCTTTTGAAATATTCACCTCCTCACTCAGTAGGTTTGCTGTGTCCAGCTCGGTCGAAGTCTTTCGCTGTCTCTGTGCTCCTTTCACCTCCTCAGATTAACTCGTCCCATCTTTGCTTCTCTTCGCTTTCTCTCCTCCCGCCCATCGTCTCCAGCCCTAAATCCTCAGCCGCGCCTCCAAAACGCCGCTTTGTTGATGTTACCATCAATTAAACAAGCACATCCCCGCTGGCTCCCCTGTTCCCCCCGTCCCCTTGTCTCCCCGCCCGTCCCCCCGCCACCCCTGTCCCCCCATGCCCTCTCTCTAACCCAGCCCTATGCGCTCAACCTTGCCTCCATGGAGTGGCGTCGTGCCCGCTCCTCCGCCCCCACGCCTGCCCATCTCCCAGAGTCACTCCGCGCCGCCGCATACCAGCCTGTCGCTCGCAACCGCAGCGGCCTTACCAAGGTACCCGGTTGGCGGTCGCTGCCACCGTCGTCGGTTCGCTTGCACTCCCGTTGTTGCCGCTGTATTTTCGTTTGTGCTCGCGTCGTTCCCACGCATGCCAGCAAAGAAACAAGCAAGCGAGCGAGCAAGCAAGCACGGCACGCACGCATACACATGGACGCCTTCATGCTTGTCTTGCCGATTTGCCTACGATCCAATGTATTCTCACCTGCCACCCTCCCCAACATCCCACTCTGTCTGACTCTCAAAGTTCTGCCGGCGTCAGTCCTCCTTACACATGCCCACTTGTTTCCGTTTCCTGTTGCACCCCCTGCCGTGCTTCGTTTGTGCCTGTGTGCATGCAGATAAGCAGCGACACGTTGCTGCTCACAGAGGGCACCATCTATGACACCCGCAGCTACCTCCGCGATGTGCACGCCCTGCACCTCCCCTCCCTCTCCTGGTGCGTGCCTGCCTGCATGCGTGCTGCAGCCGTGCACTCTTCTCCTCGCTCTTGGGCACACAGAGACTTGGTTCTGTTTGGCCTGTGCTGCTATCTCACTCTCCCATCACTCTCACGCTAGATCCCTTCTCTGGCAGTCCCCCCTTTCCCTCCCTCCTCTTGTCACCATCGCACACAACTATCCAATGACACACAGCACCATGCACCATGCACCATGCACCACGCTGAGCCCACGCCATGCCCCTCGCACCGCGTCCCTGCTGTGTGGCAGGTCCCCTGTGAGGGCGCATGGGCAGCCCACGGCGGGCCCCAGTGGAGGCCTTTCAGCGGAAGGGCTCATTGCCTACGGCGGCTGTGTGCTGGGTGAGTGTTTGTTTGTGGGCGGCTGTGTGCTGGGTGAGTGTTTGTTTGTGGGCGGCTGTGTGCTGGGTGAGTGTTTGTTTGTGGGCGGCTGTGTGCTGGGTGAGTGTTTGTTTGTGGCCGGCTGTGTGCTGGGTGAGCGGCTTTTTTCCGGGCAGCTGAGTGTTAAGTGAGTGCTTGCGCCCTGTGCCCTGCCCTATGCCCCTCGCCTTCTCTACCATACAATGCAGGTCCCTTCTCCACCTACTCCACTGCCATGTCCTCTTCGCCATCCCACTTGCTATTCACCCAAAGGAGAAGTGCTGCAGAGACAACTCACAAGCCCACTACCTCAGCACTAGTCAAAACACACGCCCTTGTTCCCCCTCTCCCTCCCTTCTTCCCCCATTCTCCCCTCTCCCCACTCCTCCCCCCTCCGTCCCGGTCTGTCACTCCTCCTGTCACCAGGCAGGTTGGGCATTCAACCAATAGCGAGGGTGGATCCAATGGTCACCGCTCGTGCGGTGCTCTGGCACTGTCTTTTGAGGCGCCTCAGAAGTCCTCTCTCCCCACTCCTCCCCCCATCCACCTCGCTTCTCACAGGCACGCTGGGCATTCAACCAGTGGCAAGGGTGGATCCAATGGTCATCGGCTCGTGGGGTGCGCTTTCCCCACCGCAACCCCAGCCTCCCCCCGCGCGCACCTGCTGCCGCCCCTGGCTGCGCCTCTCTGCCGGCCTCTCACTACTGCCACTTCAGCCCATTGAACTTGTCTACTCCTCTACCTCCCCGCCCAACGCTGCTGCTGCTGCTGCTAATGACGCTGCTGCTGCTGCTAATGACGCTGCTGCTGCTGCTGCTGCTGCGATGGAGAAATCTAACACCGGCCACGGTGCAGGAGGGGCTTGCAAAGAAAATTCTTCGGCTCGCGGGAGTGATTCGGCTGGTAGTCCCAGCAGTGAGGAGGACTGTTCTGCTCCTGCGGTAGGCCAAGGTGGGCTGGGTGTGCGGCGTGTGGGTGTGGGGATGTGTCCACTGTACTGTTCTACTCCTTGCCTCTCATGTGCTGGTCCTGACTGATAAATCTCCAGGTGCTCTTCCTCCTTCCTGCTCGGCCTTGTGCTTTTCCAGTCACCCCTGCGCCATCAGGTGTAGACGATCTCTCTATTTGGACTCTTCGCTGTGGTGACTCACCAGCAGCAGCAACAGCAGGGGCAGTACCAGCAGCAACGGCAGGGGCAGCAGATGCTTCTGTGCTATTCCAAGCAAGTGCTCGTGCAGAGCAGGATCATGCTCACATACTGTCACCCCTGTGCCACACTGCCTTCCGCCTCCCACATCTCAATACCGCCCTCCTGCCCTCCTCGTCCCTGCTTCCCCTGCACATGTCACCCGCATCATCCCCTTCTGCAACCCCACCTACTGCTCTCTCTACCGATGCTGCCTCCGTCGTACATGCTCCTGCTGCCGCTGCTGCGGATGCAGTTGCTTCTTCGTCTCCTCCTTGCCCTTTGTTTGCCAAAACGTCTGCCAGTCAACCACCAGACGCACCAACAGCGGCAGTGGCGGCGGCAGCAGCTGCTGCAATTGATCCTCTGGAGCTGCTCCTTCCGACTCCTGCCTCTGCTCATGCACACATATCTCTGCCTGTTACGGTGTCTCGACTCTCCCCTCCTCTCCTTACACTTGCGGAGTGCTTAGAAGGGGAAGGAAGTGAAGGGAGGTCAGGAGGAGGAAAAGGAGGCAGAATAGAAGGGGGAACTAGCATTTTGTTGGGAGCACCTGGGGAAGAGGGAGCAGAGGCAAGTGCTTGCGCTGCTTCGACCGGCTCTGTTGCTGCTGCAGCAGCAGCGGTGGGAGATGTGGGAGATGTGGCGTCTGCGGCGGAAGCAGCAGAGGCGGCGGCACAGGCAGTGGCAGCAGTGGCGGCTGCGTGTGTGAACATTGCGCTCATGGTGCGCGATGTGCGGCAGTCCCTGATCATGCGCAGGGGAGGGGTGGGGGAGGAGGAGGCTGATGCTGCTGGTAAGCACCTGTAGCGGTGGCACCAGGAGGGCTGGCCAGGAGAGGGGATGGGAGTGTGTGCTTGTGTGCTCTTGTGGGTTGCACGTCTTGTGTGTCTGCGACATAGTCGCGCGTATGTGTGTCCGTGTGTGCATGCTCTTCTATGTCAACATATAGCAGTTCTACCGTAATATGCCTACAAGCAGTCTATGGCCACATGTGCCTGTCCAATATAGCACTGTGTGTATCCTCTGCTTACTACCCATGGCAGTGCACAGCACAGTGGTATAGCCTGAGAAGTGAGATGTGGAATTACATCCATTACGGCAGACTGTACATTCGGCCATTTCACTATGTCAAGTCGAAATTTTTGTTTCAAAGTACCGTTCGTTACCAATGTGTCATACGGATGGTGGTGTCATGGAAAAGCATTGTACCATGTCTTTATTGATGAAAAGGATGGCGCTTAGTTACAACAAATTGCCGGTAACAGAACATTACAATCCAGCTGTCACCAGCAAGCCATAGCTTTCTAGTATGATAACTGCATCAGTGCGGTAGTTAGCATGTGTGTGGCACATGACATGACATGATATGCCACGACATGGCAAATCGCATGGAACAAGACAACGCATGCACATGGGCGGAGGTTCGAGCAGCAGGCCGCGCCTATGGCGGTTGAGCCTGCTGCTGTCATGATGCCATGTGCTTCCGTCATCATGCCAAGAGATCCCACCATGCCACATCACACCATCATCACACCATGTCACATCACACAATGTCAGAGCACGACACACCATGGTGCGTCTCAGACTGGCATGGCATGTGCTACTTAATGGCAACATCATTGTCCTCTTCCAGTGGCGGCGCTATCTTACCATGCTTAAACCCCAATGACTGCACAAGCTTTTCTATCTGCAGGGAACCAAAGCAAGTGGTTCAGACAGGTGTGAAAACGGGGGTGCCAAACGACGGTAAATGTTTGGAGTAAATGCAGAGAAAATATGTAAAACAGGAAAAGGGAAAAAGGAACAAGCTCCTGCGATTCAAACCACCTGCGTGGCAAATCAAGCACATGGCAGGTGGCACATGGCGGGTGGCACATGGCCGGCGGCACATGGCTTGCAGTGCGCACCTCATCAAACGTTTTGGGCGAGACATCGTAGCGAGCCACCTCCCTGTTGGCCGAGTCGAAGAGCACCAAATCCGGCACCTTGCCGTGTATGTAGCTGTGACACACATGCACACGCACACACACACACACACACACACACACACACACACACACACACACACACACACACACACACACACACGTGGTGAGGTGCATACGTGGGGTTTGTTGGGGGAAAGGGCGTTGGAAAGAAAGGGAGTTGGAATAATAAGTGGGGATGGGAAGACAGAAGCAGAAGATGGTTGTAGAGTAGGGGTGACACTTGGGGATTGATAGACAGGTGGCACCACACGGGGCATTGCGGCTGTGTGGAGCTGCCTTGGGTTGAGGTGAAGAGATCATGTTAGCCGCGAGAGTCACTGCAGTGCATGTCGGGAACGCTGCCATGCCTGCTGCCATGCCGGGTGCCATGCCGGTGCCATGCGGGTGTTGTCATGCATGTGAACTCCTACTAGTCTGCGCAGCTGGCCTCATGCTATGCACCACAATGCGTCCTACTCTCATCCACAATACTCTCCCCTTGCTGCACTGAATCGCGCACTCTCAACCGTCGGCAGCAATTCCTCTTCCTACGCTGTCCTCTTTCCAAACGGGAATAACTGCTCCAATGTGTCTGTTCCTGCCTTCACGCTGACTTGACTGTCAATCGCCCACTTCACCCCGCATGCCACCGATAGGACAATCACGAGACGGCAATCTTGTTTACCCTCCCCTCCCCCTCTCCCCCCCACCCCATCTTTCACCTCCCCCCTTCCGAGTACTCACTTGATGGTCAGCGACTCGTACGCGTTGGCCTCCACACGCTCCTGTGCCCATGTGGGGCGGGTAAGCGGGGGGGGGGGGGAAGGGGTGAGGGGGAGAGGGTCGAGGGGCGCCACAGGAGGGAGGAGAGGGAAGAGTGAGGGAGGGAGGGAGGCAGGGAGGTGGGGAGGGAAGGACGGACGAACGGACGGAAAGAGGGAGGGATTGGCAGAGGAGGGGGGTAACGGGAGAGAGGATGAGAGGAGCGGCGCGCAAGTGTGAGGCTTCTTACTGGACAGCCACCAAGAAGGGCGCTCGAAGACACGCGCATGAGAGCAGCGGCGCGGGTGAACAAAGCAGGCGCGCGCGCATTCGCGGGGCCGCGCGAGCAGCGCGGGGGCGAGCGAGCAGCGCGGGGGGGCGCGAGCAGCGCGGGGGGGCGCGAGCAGCGCGGGGGCGCGCGAGCAGACGAGCGGAGCAAAGACGGCGCGCGCGTCCAGCAGCGGGGGGGGGCACACCTCGAAGAAGCGGCGGACCTCCGGGAGGCGGTTGAGCTGTCATCCGCTGCAGGACTGCGCGGGGCGAGGAAGGGGGTGATGGTACGGGGAGGAAGGCGCAGGGCGATCAGATGATCGGAGAGTGGAGTGAGAGGAGAGAGGGGCGAGAGTGGAAGGAGAGGAGAGAGAGAAGTCAGACGAAAGAGAGGAGACAGAAAGCGTGCGGGCTGGGAATGCGCAGAGGATCTACTGCTAATGCACACAAACGACAACGTGAGGCGAGTTACGCGCGGAATGCGGACGGCGCGCAGGCTGTGCTTTGAGCCCTGCTCCTCTCGCGGGCTGTAACTTCAAGGCGCCTCAGAATGAGGCGCCTCAATATCTGAGCCCTGCTCCTCCTCTCGCGGGCTGTAAGTTCACAGGGCGGTCCCTTTCAAGGCCCCTTCAGAGTCAAAGGTCGCCTCCCATACGTTTCGAGGCAGGTCCCTCAGAACAGACGGCGCGCTGCTGCTTCGCAATAAATCGTTCGGTGGAGAACAGGCGATAGAATTCGATTATGCTATCTGCGGTCTCACCTGGAACTCGCCGCGCGCGAAAGACGGAGTGCTCTTGAAGGACGTTGTCGCGCGACGCACGGAAGGGAGCAGCAGCAGGAGCACGACGGACACCACCACCACGCCGCACAGGGAACGACGCAGCCCCGCTGACGGCGCCATACGCGGCGCCCACCGTTAGACGGCGTGACTGGCCGTCAGAATCGCGTAGTTGGCGTTATGGCGAGGGGGAAAGGAGCTCGCGGAAAAAACAAAGGCTGGAAATTGTGAGTCCAATGGGGTGGAGACGGAGGAAGACCGAGGGTAGGGAAGCATGAGACGAGACGGGCAACGAGATGGCACAAATCCTAAGAGGTGTCGGTGAGGCGAACTTCGAAGAGCGTGGTGCAGATCGATTCAGAACGGCCAATAGTTCTCATAGATTCAGGGTCGCAGAGCGTGTTCAAAGACACGAATTTCAACACTTCCTTGAGCGGTCCTCTCGATTTTTTTCCAAAAAATGTACATCTTCGCGATTTGAGTCAGTGGCTTGCTACAGTTGAGAGGCCGCCGCGACATTGTCAAGAAGCGTCACAATGATGAAGGCATAGACGCCAGGGAGCAGAAACGTCTAACGAGTTAGAAAGCAGCCCGGAAATGTGAACCTAAACAATAAGACGGCCATATATATTATAGTGGCATACGGTAGTTCAATAAAGAATTCTGCTGATTACAACCAATCCAGGATGATACCAGAAAGGTTCCTTCAGATGCTCTTAACTTCGCAGCTTGAGCTGCTGAACTACTGCACACACAGCTAAGCAATTCAGACATCAGCAACCACCCAAGTACCGTACTGGATTGGGATAGTCACCCCAAAACTAGCTGGCCGCGCATGCACTGGGGGATGGCATGACATGAAGCACGTCTACACGTGAAATGGGGATAAGGGGGAGAAGCAACACAGCAAGTTGCAACAAAGAGCGGGATGGAGTAGACAGCTTCTGGTGCTGCAGAGCGGGCCCTGCTGCACTGCACCTGCACCCACGGCTACTACTGCTGCAATATGAAGCATGGGAAGTGTGCTCCATGGGTGATGAATCACGATGCACAGCAGCAGCTGCATATAGGATAGAGTGGGACTCTACCAGGCAGTCCAGCGGTCCATCCATCCACCTGAAGTAACAAAAAAAAGGCAGGAAAAAAAAAATACAATATGAGAAGTTGGCAGTGGGCTATGGTGATAGAGATAGTGATGGTGTTGGCAACGAAGGCGGGAATGCAGCTAACCAAGGGGTAAAGTAGACTCGGACTTAAACACGATCCGATTGTCGATTGTGCACAATCAAGCCTGTGGAGCCACTCCCCTCCACCAATACGGCAGAGAAACAAGGGGCCAGTGTGCCCTCACACAAGGACTCAGGGTGACCACACAAAGACTAATCAACACGAAGCTGAATTCCGCCCAGTGTGGCGATCGACACTAGACAGGCTGGTGGGCCCCAGAGCAGGAGCACAGAGGAGAGGAGGAGAGAAGAGGAGAGGAAAGGAGAGGAGAGGGAGGAGAGGAGGAGAGGAGGGGAGGAGGAGGGAAGGAGAGGAGGGGAGGAAGGGAAGGGAGGAGGACTTGCCTGGGAACCTGCGGATAAAGAGCTTGCGGATCTCCCCGAGGAAGAGGATGGTGAGGGCAAAGGGGACGCCAATGAACCAGTAGACGATGCTGATGGGGCGCACTGAGAACACCTCCTGCAGGAACGGCACGTACAGCAGCGCCGCTGCTATGCCCGTCTCAAACAGCAGTGAGAAGTTGAGCACCCAGTTCCACATGCCCTGGTGTGGGGGTTGGGGGGGGAGAAGGGTGTGGGGTTGGTCTTGAGGTGCCTCAAAGCACGTACAGCAGGGCTGCTGCTATGCCCGTCCTCAAACAGCAGTGAGAAGTTGAGCACCCAGTTCCACATGCCCTGGTGTGGGTTGGAGAGGAATGCAGATGAGGGGTTTTGAAGATGGGTGGGAGTGGGTGTAGCATTGAGAGTGAAATTTGTAGACGCAGCATTGAAGATGGAAGGAATACTGAGAGCAGGCGGCGCCGGCAGGTCCGGTGGCTGAGGCAGCGGCGGTGGCAGCGGCACGAGGCTGGGCTTCGCCTACTGACCTGTTGGAAGACGGAGAGGCGGCGGGTCTTGCAGACGATGAGGTTGGCCCACTGGGTGACGATGATGGCAACAAAGTAGGCGGACTGCGCATACAGCAGCACCTGCCGCTGGTACTCAGGGTTCGCCTGGGACATGGACCGCCCCCCCCACCAGTACACGCCCCCTACTGGCCCATCAGGTGGGTCCAAGGACTTTCGGTTGGGGAAGCCGTACTGCGAAAGGGGCAAAGTGGGGGGGGGGGATGGGAGCGGGGGGGTTGGAGAGTGTGTGGGGGGGAGATGAGAGTGTTGGAAGGGCCAGGGGAAAGTGGCAAGGAGAGAGTTTGGAGTCAGACACAGAAGGCTTGGAAGCTGTTAAGCTCTTTAGCGACTGTGTGAACCAGGCAGGCAGTAAAGCAGAAGTGAATGGGATGGAACCACAACCTCCACAAACCTCCCTACCCCAGCCTCCCTCCACAAACCTCCCTACCCCAGCCTCCCTCTCCTCCCCCCTTGAACCCCTCTCCCCGGCGCACACGCACCAGTGCGGTATCCGCAGAACTGCACTGCGAGGGCATAGTCCCTCCCACAAACTGAGAAGCGGGCGAGTAGCACGTGAGGTTGCAGTACTGCTGCCCGCGGAACCCGCCCATGCTGAATTCACTGAAGGGGTCCGACACGGTAGTCCCCGGCGCGGGGGGCGGGCAGCCGTAGAGGCAGTAGGGCACGGAGGAGGGCGAGTTGGCGGGCGTGGGGATGATTGTGTAGTCTGGCGAGGCGCAGCCAAACCCGCAGCGGTCGGGCTCCAGGTCGCTGTTGAGTGAGCAGATGATGGAGGAAGTGGCGAAGTCTGACCCGATGGATGGCAGCACCTGGAGAGAGGAGCGGTGGGGTTGAGGGGGGGGGGGGTGGGGGGGAGAGACGGGAGGGAGGGAGGGGTGAGCCGCAGCCAAACCCGCAGCGGTCGGGCTCCAGGTTGCTGTTGAGAGAGCAGATGATGGAGGACGTGGCGAAGTCTGACCCGATGGATGGCAGCACCTGGAGAGAGGAGCGGTGGGGTTGAGGGGGGGGGGGGTGGGGGGGAGAGACGGGAGGGAGGGAGGGGTGAGCCTCAGCCAAACCCGCAGCGGTCGGGCTCCAGGTTGCTGTTGAGAGAGCAGATGATGGAGGACGTGGCGAAGTCTGACCCGATGTATGGCAGCACCTGGAGAGAGAGGGGAGGGAGGAGGAAGGAGAGGGAGGAAGGAAAAAGGGAAGAGAGAATAGATCGGAAAAAAGGCAAAGAAAAAAAAACAAAAGAGAAAAAGGTGGCATTTGAGAGGGGATGGAGACGAACGGGATGGATAGGCGTGGACTGAGAGCAGATGCTGGGTTGGGCGATTCTTCAGCGGCAAACAGGCGTTATTCAAAACCAATCAGAAACCTGCCTACCTCCATATGAAATCGCAAGAAACCCTCAATCCCACATGGGACAATTTTTTAGGCGCCTCAAAAACACTCCCACACGGACCACCCCTTCCATGCACCCCCTTTCCCCCACATGCATCCTTCTCCTGTGTCCCCTCATTCAAATACGCCTCCCTCACGTGCACAACCCCCCTCCCATGCATCCCCCTGCCCGCGGTACTGACGTGAGGCGGGAAGCCATAGTCGTTGAAGACAGCGAGGTAGGCGAGGAAGCCGGCGAGGGTCTGCACAAGAGAGCAGCCTCGATGCCACCCCCCTCAAATGCACCCCACCTCACATGCCCCCCACCCCCCACATCCCATGCACCCCCCTCCCGGCGGTACTGACATGTGGGGGGAAGCCATAGTCGTTGAAGACAGCGAGGTAGGCGAGGAAGCCGGCGAGCGTCTGCACGACGCCGATCTGCAGGTACGCGTGGCTGATGAGCTTCCAGCTCACCAGGTGGTCCTTGCGCGCATTGCGCGGCGGCCGCTCCATTATGTCCGACTCCTGGGGGGGTTGGGGAGGGGTGGGGTAGGTAGGGGGAGGAGGGGATATTGGAGGCGCCTCAAACAGCTTCCAGCTCACCAGGTGGTCCTTGCGCGCATTCCGCGGCGGCCGCTCCATTATGTCCAACTCCTGGTGGGGTGCGGAGGAGAGTTGGGTGAGAGGAGGAGGGTGAGGGGTGAGGGGTGAGGTGGAGGGGAGGGGGAGGGGGAGGGAGAGGGGGAAGGGGGAGTCAAGGTGAATGGATGGGAGGTGGGATGGGGGAAGGTGGGGGGCAAGAGTGGCGGGGTGTGGGAAGAGAGGAGGGGGGATAGAAGTCCCAAAAGCAAGCAGCATGTCTGTGCCCAGGCCAGGCAGCATGTCTGTGCCCAGGCCAGGCAGCATGTCTGTGCCCAGGCCAGGCAGCATGTCTGTGCCCAGGCCAGGCAGCATGTCTGTGCCCAGGCCAGGCAGCATGTCTGAGCCCAGGCCAGGCAGCATGTCTGTGCCCAGGCCAGGCAGCATGTCTGTGCCCAGGCCAGGCAGCATGTCTGTGCCCAGGCCAGGCAGCATGTCTGTGCCCAGGCCAGGCAGCATGTCTGTGCCCAGGCCAGGCAGCATGTCTGTGCCCAGGCCAGGCAGCATGTCTGTGCCCAGGCCAGGCAGCATGTCTGTGCCCAGGCCAGGCAGCATGTCTGTGCCCAGGCCAGGCAGCTCCCTCCCCTCCTCTCCCCTCCCTCTCCCCCCACACCTCCCCTCCAACTTGTCTATCCGCAACCTTGCCTCCTCTTCCCCTGTCCCCTCCTCCCCCCACCACACTCACCTTCTCCTCATACGCAAGCGAGATAGCGGGCAGCATATCAGTCCCGAGGCAGATAGCGAGCATGAGCACGGTGGAGAGCGCGAGCGGCACGCCCCCCAGCACGTTGACGAGGTAGGGCACGAGCTCGGGGATGTTGACGGTGAGCGCGTAGCAGATGGTCTTCTTCAGGTTGTCAAAGATGAGCCGCCCCTCCTCCACCCCCAATCCCCGTCTCCCTACCATCTCTGTACCCCCTCACGTTTCCCCGTCCCCCCTCCTTCCCGCCCACTCGTCCCGGGACTTCCTCCCTTCCCATCC